AATTCCACTTTAATTATTTCTTAATTAAGGGAACATTGTTCAATTAAACAAAATGACACTGTGAGGAAATGGGATAAACTGGCTAAAAAGATCAAAACACAAGACTGAAAGGTATTTTAGAAGGATATGCCAATAGATACAGTGCTTTGAAAGAAGTTTAAAGAGGACAAGACAGAAGATGTTACATGAGGTGAAAAAGTAGCCATTTTGGTTTATTGCTGTGCTGATATTAATTATAAATGGCAGGTCAGCTGTCAGCCAAGTAATGGACTTTCCTTGTGATCTGGAGCACAGTGCTCTTTATCCAGTGTATCTCTTTCTCCAGAATTTTGCTTTGCAAGTCAATACCACACACAAAAAATGAATTAATAGGAAAGAAGACACATAAAACCATCTGTAATTCCAACTAAGCCAAATCAGTTTTTATGAAACAATACAAGTTCTATCTGGATTTCAAGCTTTATTTTCTCCCTAAAACTACATGCAAATTTATCAGAACAGCATAAGATTTTTCTGTTGTTGTTTTTTTTTTGCAAGGGACTCTATGATTTCAGACCAATTTTCCTACAGAGAGAAATCACACTGAGTTCTTTAGGACTTTATGAACTTCAGCGGAAAGGGAGCCTATTTAAACCAAAGGTTTAAATTATTATTTGTCCTCTCAGATATGCAAATTCATGGTCAGTTCAGGAAGTGGTGAAGTCATTTCACCCAGCATTTGGGGAAATGATCAAAGTGTCATTCATTTCAAAGAGGCTTAGTATTGGCTCAGTCCAACTTTCACAGCTCTATTGAGTGAAATTCGCTTCTGAGCCCTTGATATCTAGACTATATCTATTTAATTTTTTTAACCTCAGATGAGTTCTAATTTGACTGACTGACTGTAAGAGGTCAAAGAGGATTATGAATGCTCCTGGGCTACATACATACCTAGTTTATTTTCATGCAACAGAAACCTAGTCCAAAGCTTGTTGTAGTTTAACCCCAACCAGCAACTAAGAACATAGGATGGGAATGACTGAGATATTCACTGCTAAAGCTCATTTCCGATCTGAACTCAAATGCCTATGAGGACACATTCTGTGTGTTCCAGTTGGTATTTAGTTATACTAGCTATGCCTGTAGATCCTACTCACAAAACTTACATTCCAGGCTGTATACATTAGCAAATACAGACAACAGATATTTGCCTGCAATTGATGACCCCCCAAAAAAAACCTGTAAAAGATTCAGGTGAAAAGACAGCCAGTCTCAAGAGAGAACACACTCATACTACCGAGTCTGCTGAAATAATCAAAGTTAAGTTATGGAGTTCAATACCAAGCTTGAGACTTTGAGGGAAGCAGGAAAGGTTAACTGTTAATTGTGAAAAGGGAGAACAATATGGCAGTTGCCCTTCAAAATGTACTTTAGTATATTTTAATATACAGGAGCTGGTTTGTTGCTAGTCACCCCCTGTGAGCAGAACCATAGGATTCAATTCATGAGACTTCTCACAAATAGAGCCCCGCAGTGTTCCTGCAGCTAAAGTCACCATACTGTGAAATCCAGTGTAGGGACTTCAACCATTCTGATGAAAAATGCAAAGGGACTGGTACAGAAATTATTTTTGCCAGTGTATTTTGCAACTAATTTACAGACACAGATTGTTTAATGTGCGTTAAAGACTCAGAGAGGGAATTAGTGCACTATAGTGAATAAACAGAGTAATTGTGAAATCATTTCTACAGCTCAATCAGAAAAGCATCAGTGGAAAAATAGGCATGCAGAGCCCCTTGCACTACAAAGGGGTATTTCAAAACCTGACTCCAATCCTGTGTTGTGTACTGTCCAGCACAAAGGGATTTTGCTCATGGTAGGAAACAAAAGAGACAAGCTGCATTTTTTGCAGCTTTAATTCTTTCTCCCCCATACATTCATTCACAGTGCATTGCAAATGTCTAGTAAACTTGGTGAAAATTACTTTAAACAGGGCTTTTCAAACCTCTTATGCTTAAAAAAAGAAGATTAAAACCATCTGTTTTCTCCAATACCTACAAGATCAACTTAAAGCACTGGAGGGGTGTAATGGGTAGATTTCAGCAGTGACCCATTGGCCCTCGTGAATACTCTGACAGGAGTGCAACTGTGCTCACCAAACCAGGCAAATATTAAAGAATGGAAAATAAAGCACTCAAGGGGCCTGCAAATGCTGCTGGTGTTACCTTGACAACATAAGTTAAACACATTCCTCTGCCAGATACTCCAAGGGAAGATTTCTAGTTCTTTATCATGATGCTCAAACCAATACCTCCTAAACACATATTTCTATCTGAAGTGTAGGAAAAAAAATATTCTGTATCATGACCCTATATTTTCCCTTCTTTCTTCATGAATTGCAATGAAACAAAACCAAATCCCCCACGTTTCAGTGGTAATGCTTTACTGTTTACAGGCTTTTAGATAGCTTGCCCAATCTTACCATCCCTAAGCACAGGGGCTTAGGGCCTTAAAAAGCAAATTTTACGTGTGAAAATTACATCTAAGAACACCTTTTCAAGCCCTAAACATTACCTAAACCTTTGAAGAAACCTCCAATTCAGGCTGTAGGGAATGTCTTTAAGAAGTGGATACCAGAGTATCAGGTAGCTGGTATACATTATGATTTGTACAAGGTTCAGAACCCTGCAGCCCCGGTAAAGACAGTGGTGGGCAAATGGACATCCCTAAAGAACTGCAGCTTATGAGGAGCCCACACTGGGTGAGGGGGAAAAGTGTGAGAGGGAAGAAGCAGCGTAGAGAAGCCACTATGTTACTGACTATACCTTCTTTTCTCCACTGCACTCTCATCATATTTTCTTCTCTGTCCTGCAGAGGAAGAGGAGTGATAGAATGGCTGGGTAGGCACCAATTGCTAAGGTTAACCTACCTCAGTGAAGAAACCAAAAATATATATTCTGCTGGGCTACACAGCATAAAAAATACAGCCAAAACAGCTTCAGTTCAACTTCTAACTTATTATATCACCCTCAGGAAACAGGAGAGGATATACTTGATCTACCAGATATTTGGGTTGGAGTTTACCAGCCTGGGTTTAAGATTAGGAGTCCAGATTATTTTGGAGTATCAGTCACAAAACTAAAAACATGGCTATACACAGCATTGGTCTGGGTACCAATCTATGCACTGATAACCAGAATAAACCCAGTGTGGGAGGAGCACCCTCTTATCAAAAAGTCCTTTCAATCAATCTTGCTAGAAGTTAATTTCTTGAGTGATCATAGAGGACTTCTTTCTCCTTTCTCCTTTTGCAAGGCTTATGACACGCTTATTATCAAGTGAAAACAGTAACTAGGCAGGTCTGTTCAGTCTGATGTGCAGCCATGCAACAACTGCTGCATCACACATAAAACAAATAAGAAACAATGTATAAAATAAAATGTGCCTGTGAGCACAGTGCAAACCTACAAGAAAAAAATAAATTCCTACAAATACATTGCAAAAGTTCTCTTGAAAATCAGTGGTAAATACATGGGAAAAGACACTCTACATTAGATTATACCACATTACCAGCGTGCAATGGAGTCTTAAAATTCAAGGTAATTAAAATGACATTAAAAAAAACAACAACCCCAAGCTTCATATATTTCTCTCAATTCCCTCTTCTTAAAAAGTAATATTCACACACAAAAGGCATATTAACTTTAAATATTGTCATTTATGGCACTTTTTTTTGTGACCATTTATGGCATTGATAACAGCTTTAAAAGGCCTGTAGGGACTAAATTGCTTTTCTGTGAGAAGAATGGCAAACTGGAAAATCCATGAGCTTTTAACCCAAGCTTTACTGTTTGGTTTGAGAAACTTTTAACTATTTATGGCACCCTTGAAGTCTACATAAAAGAGCAGAATACCACCATTTCAGCATTTCCCACTGTATTATCAAAATAACAGTATAAGGAATGTTGACTTTTATGCTTCCTCCAATTAGGGTAAACAACATGCCTCAACTAAGTTTTCATTTTGTGAAGAACAGGATATCATTATTCATGTGGATATATACTTTGCAGAACCTGGTGACTAAGATAAAACCATGGAAATACAATTTCTCTGCCTTGTTTCTCTGCCAGAAGCATTGCTTCTTGATATGCCTGGGAATGTTTACAAAACCAGAGCATCATATTCTAAAGGTTTGTAATAAATCAGTGGACCTTAATGGTTTACAACCTGAACATGTAATTATTTAGGCATAGGTGATTTATTCAGTAGATTTTTAAAGGATGTTCTGGTGTGTAGGGAGCAGATTATGGTTGTGAGTGCTGGTAAATGATGGCAGTCTGTCATAAACCCTTGTGTTACTGCAGACAAGTAATTTAAGATTATATTCTCAAAAGTGTTTAGGCAACCAAACACGCAGTTAAGCACATAAATGAATCGTCTATTTACTGGAACTGTACCAATGCAAGTCCTATGGATTTCAACAGATGATGCAGAAAACACTACTGACAACAATTTTTTTGCAATAGGAGCTTAAATGCCTTGTAAATAGAACTCTTGAACTAAGAACATGTAGAAACAACAGTAATCAGTGATTTTCTCAGAAACACAGAATGGTTTGAGTTGAAAGGGAGCTAAAAGATCATCTAGTTCCAATCGCCCTACCATGAGCAGGGACCCTTTCCACTAGACCAGATTGCTCAAAGCCCCATCCAACCTGGCCTTGAACACTGCCAGTGATAAGGCAGCCAGGACTTCTCTGAGCAACTTGTGCCAATATCTCACCACTCTTACAGTGAAGAATTTCTTCCTAATATCTAATCTAAAACTCCCCTCTGTCAGTTTAAAGCCACTGCTTCTTGTCCTGTCACCCTTGTAAAAATTCCCTTGGCAGCTTCCTTGTAGGCTCCTTTTAGGTACCGGATGGTTGCTATCAGATCTTCCTGGAGCCTTCTCTTCTACAGGCTGAACAAGCCCAACTCTCTCAGCCTGTCTTCATAGGAAAGGTGCTCCAGCCCTCATCTTCATAGCCTCCTCTGGACTTGCCTGACAGTGCAAACAATATATTATAGCTGAAAATCAATCTAGCAAATGGTAAAATAACACCTTCATAATTATATGAAGTTACAAGAGTTATCTGTCCTGTGGGGCCATACATAGTGGGAGCAACTACTTCTGCAGCTCGTAGCTTGTTTGCATTCTCCTGAAACCAAGAATTAATTTAGAAAAGCGGAAAAAAACCAAGTTTGGTTTGGTTTTAGCAAATTCACACACACTGTTAATAATCGTGGTTTGAGCCTTCATCTCTAACTGAGCAAATGTAAACTGTTTGGCACACCTCTCTCCCCCTTCCTTTGCACATCTGCACAGCAGGCCCAGCATTCTGCCCAGGATGCTGTTATGATCCTCCTGTAGAGTGGAGGAGTCACACAAAGGCAGATGTGCACTGATCATATCATAAAGATATCACTGGGAAAGGGGCTGCAATTTCAACAAATGGTGTATTTCTCAGATCCCATCTCCAGTGTTCTCTGCAGCAGCTCCATGTTTTCTCATTTCTCCTAAAGAGTTTCCACAAATAAAGGGCAGCCAGCTGCTTCCCTTGTCACTCCCACATCTATGAGAGCACCCACTGGCTTCTTCAACAAATGTGATTACTTTTTGGGATGGTAAAGAATAATTCCTCTTCCTTGCTGGTTTCCTCAGCACCAGTTAGGAGCCACCTCTAGACCTGCCACTGCCTAGTCTGACACAGGTTAGATCCATGAGAAGGAGTAGGTGCCTAGACATCATCTCTCTCTCACCTTCTGAAACTTTCCTTACACTAATGGAAATTTTGCTGCTAATTTAAAAAAACTTCGAGGTTTTCATTTTTTAAGAGAGACAAATTGAGAACTAGGACCTGATTGCTGAGCTGTTAACTGCTACTTTGACTGACAGAAAAAGTGAAACTATAATCTTAGGAATTTATTTCTGTTGCAACATTATAAATTTTAAAATTTTATGGCTTTTCTTTGAGTCTGGTATGATAAAAATGTGAATATCTTAATGTATTAAATGCTGTCTTCTAGAGAGCATTATTGCTTAATATTCCCTCATACTTCATAAATTAAAGTAAAAAAACCCTTAAAGTTAACTTTTTTTTCCTGAAACAAAGATAGCAGTGGGCTTGATTAATATACAGATGCTTTATGCTTCTGGCACTGTACTTTCCTTTTAACAGAGTAATATGTTCTGCTTATGCTCTTGCAGCTACATAGATTTATACATTTTGCATTTTAAAATAATATATAGAACTTAATATTGTTATGCAAAATGTGTGCTTAAAGTAAGGCATAGCACTTTTGTTCCAGACGGTGAAGGCAAAATGCACTGAATTTGCATAACATTTAGCAAAGTTAAATTTTAGAGTGGCATAGGTATATGTGCAAAAACCACATTCATCTTGAATCTCATTTTAAGTATAAGTAGGTCACAAACCAGGAGCTAAAATTCTCCATCAAATTATTCTGCACAGGTCTATATGGTTGGCTGTACCTGGTTATGCATGCTGCTGGAAGAGGAATCTTGAAGCGATTTGGCAGAAAATGAATACAAAAACATGTGCTGCTTAAAAGACATTAATAAAGGTAGTGTCCCACATGGCTAGTGTTTTGCTTTACATGCCTGCAAACAGATACCATATTTGCTGGGCTAACTACATAGCCCCCAGCACACCGTGGGCACTATATAAATAGACTTATTCATTATATCATGGATTTGCACTCTGACTTGTGCACAAAGGACTACAGAGAATGTACTTAGAGAAAAGGAGCAAACCCCAAAGGACGAAGTGAATCTTTGTCAATTCATTATTAGCTTCTTTTTTTTTGTGCTCATCTTCACTTACCTGGCTTTGCATAATTCTGTCTGTCATTAAGTAGATGTACCTCTCTCTTCATATACTGCAAATTGTCTTGCTGCTTTTGCCAGCAGTTCCATCCAAGTTGAAGCCTGTTCATCTGTTTCTACTATTTCTTTTCCATCGCTTCTGTAATTAGCACCTATGAAAGAACAGGACAGATATAGATATCAGTGAGATTACCAGTAAGATTCTTATGAATGCCTTTTCAAAAGGAGTGAGAAGTGAAAAGATTCACAGCTCGTTTTATCCTGGAGCTGCCCAAAATTTATCCCTAAATATCTTTCCCTATGAAAAAAGATAAAAAAAGAAATTCATTTTAATCTTCAGTTTTAGCAACATGTGTCAAATAAAACCATCTACTTGTATACAGACAAGTCCCTGGTATTTACAGTAAAAGGAAAAAGAGAAATTCAGTTATTATTTGTAAAAACAAATTAGAATTATTGCTGGAATGAAGCCCATCAATAAAGTGAGGAAATACAATGTTAAAAAATCTGCACTGAGATCCCATGAGACCTGTGAGCTTTCCTCACATACAGTAATTTTAGAAGCACATCTGAACAAGGACTGCTCCCAGCAGGAGGGCTGCATGAGCAGAGCAGTTAACCTAGAACATTAAAATGTGCTTGACATTGTTATAGATCTGGTGAAACCCTGAAGCAACACAGGATCTGCTTGAGAAGACCACTCCTTGGTTTAAACAATGAAAAGTAGATAATAAACAGCTTTTTGAGTCCTTCAATTTAGGCTACCCAATTCCTGCAGGCTTGTCTCCTAGCTGTTTGACTGTTTACCTGATCCATCCTAAGGCTTTCTATGACCTTTACACACATACTCTGCTTCCACGCAGCATTTTAGCAGCAATTTGAAGACTATCATGTTTGACTGAAAAAATACATAACCACCAGAATCAGAAGTGAATATTTAAAACTCACTTTCTTCACTAATTGCTCTTATTTTTTAGAAAGTGTGAAAATTGAATGATCCTGAAGACTTTTAATCTCTTGTCAAATCTTTTCAAGTTAAGACAATGACTTTGTAAATATGTATAGTCTGTTTAACAGATTACACTGCTAAAATAAACTTGAGGCCATAAAGAAAACAGCTGAAAATTGAGAAGGAAGGAAGGAAGGAAGGACACTAGGCAGAACTGAAATTTCTCTAAATTAGCAAGTATTTGGGGGGTGGGTGGGGAAGCAAGAAACAGTGAGAAGGTAGCGAATGACAAATAATAACTTTCACAAGATTTCTTTCAAGCACAGTTGTTAACCTCTACAGGGTGCTTAAACACTAAACAGCCTAACCTCCTAACTGGTCCTGCTTTATTAAGCTTAAAACATGTGCATCCTATGCAGACACCATATCACAGGAGAACCTATGGTTTATTTCTCTGGAAACCAGGTTCCTTACTTGTAGTTGGAACACGTATGTTTTATCCACCTATTCATAGAATCACAGAATCATAGAATGATTTGGGTTGGAAAGGACCTTAAGATCATCCAGTTCCAACCCCCCTGCCGTGGCCAGGGACACACTGCACTAAACCCTGTCACCCAAGGCTCTGTCCAACCCGGCCTTGAACACTGCCAGGAATGGAGCATTCATGACTTCCTTGGGTAACCCATTCCAGTGCCTCACCACTGTCACAGTAAAGAACTTCCTCCTTATATCTAACGTAAACTTCCCCTGCTTAAGTCTGAGCCCATTACCCCTGTTCTGTCATGAATTCTTCCTGAAATCATATAATCATTCTGTTCTGGTAATAGGTTTTACAGTTTTCATATTCAAGGAGGAAGCCATGGGACAAAGGGACTTAGAGCAGCAAACCTATCTAGTACTCACTCTTGTGCCTAAATATGTATTATGTATTATATGTATTGCACCTGCAGTGCTAGTTTCTCAGTCTGACCAGTCAGGTTTTGTCAGTGCCCATCTGGACTGAAGTGTGAATTAAGGTTTATATATGCCCGTAACAAAGCCAATGTGTACACCCATACATCGGAGTTCACATGAATATTTGTAAGCATCTACAAATTCAATTTTCAAACAATTTTCCTATGCATACAAGAAAAATAGTTATCTTGTAATAAAAAACACAAAGGTAGGAGCAAAGAATTTAACAAATTCCAATTCTCTCGCTACTTCTTACACTTAGGGGTTGGCAGTTTTTTGCTTAAATGATTAATAAAGAAGCATAAGTACCTTATCAAGCTGAGTTTGAAAACGTACCACAACATGGCCAGATAACATTAGGAAACTGTGAGAATACATGCAAAATCGTGTACCAAAAAGAAGTGAGAAGTAACTGATAGGATACCTTGCCTGAATTTATAAATTCTTGCACAGGTAATCAGGCTTTTGAGTCTGAGACAGTACCTTAACTGCAGTCTTTGTTGAGAGTGGTCCTACAATCCGTCATCATTTTTCTTAGTCATTACTCACGGCTGAATCTAGACAGAAGCCTTTCTTGGTAGTCTCTGACACAGTAGGTCAAAATCCAAACATTAAACTACATCCGTCGTTTGCTTCTTCAGAAGTCACTTCTTCAGAAGTCTTTAAAAAACCCCACATTTTATCTAACTAGGAAAGCTAAAACAATTCACAGTCCACAGCCACAACCTTGTACTGAGGATTTCACATAGCTCCAGTTATCAGTTATATATCACACTCCTATTTGATCTCTATTTCAGGATCACAGGTTTTTTGAATGACATAAATCAGCCTATTTTCACTGATGTAAATGATACTGGATCCTGTTATTTGAAGTCAGAAGAGTGTTTTTCAGACCTCCTGAGAAGCTGAGCCAGAAGTTTCTCAGTGTTATATGGAGTTCATAGAAACTTAGCAAAAATTACTCTGCCTGTAACTTGTCGCAGTAGGGTAAAAGTAGTTTCAAGTAAACAGATACTTTTTGAGAAACCAAAATTAAAGATGTAAAAAAGCCCTAAACTCTCACGTTTTCTGGACTTGACTTATTCCTACCTGCCAGATTTTCCCCTACAGAAAAGAAGTAAAAAATATAACAAACCAACCAACCAACCAAACTCACCCCTCCCCTTTTAGCCATCATTTCCATAATCTGTCTTGCTAAAGTAACTTTTATGTTGTCTTAATACTTTCATAATTATTTGACAACTCTGAGATATACCGATACTTATGGCTGGCTAAATGTGACATCCAGTCCTCACAATAAGAATCAATGACAACCATCGTGTCCTACTTTTCACTGTTACTTATACAGCTGCTTATTTCCAGTTGCAGTTGGCTAGATAAATTCCACTTGATCACAGGATAAATTCTCCTAAGCGAATTCATGGTTACTCATAGAGCAAATGGGAAGAGCCCATTTATATTGCTTCCCCTATCTTTTTCTCTACAATTTAATTCCTAGGAGCTGCTAGTGTAAAATAAAAAGTGGCACTTTAGCTACTTTTAGCTCATGCCTTTCCAGCAGTCTTGGGCTCCTGGTTCATAATTCAGTGAACATATCCTCCAGTCTTTAATACACTCACCAATAACACAGCAGAGTAAAGCACACTGCTCTGGGCTTCAGCTGGTGTTGTTTCCTCCTTTGCTGACTGTCCCTTGAAGTCTAAGCTTGCACAGGAGGAACAGAATGATACTGACATGAAAGAGCAGAGCAAAAATCACTTCTATGATAAATCAAAGTGCACGTGGCATGGTAGAACCAAGTAGCCATCATGCTGTGGTCCAGGAATGGTTGTGTCACTGATTGTGCTGCATGGAAACACTCCAGGTGATATAATTGGTGAAGGCTATCTTGTCCTCAACAGGACAACGTCTTCAAGCGCAGAAAGACTACTCCAGTCATCTGACATATAAGGATTAGAAGAAAAAGGTCAGATGAGGCGTAATAGATTCATAGTTACAAGTTCTAGAGAGGGTTCAGGCAAGATGCTCCAATGACCACAGAGTGGGAAGAAATCCTGCTATCACAATTAAGGCTTACAGAGTGAGGAACAACTGCCATAGCATCTCAGAAGCAGAAGGACACTCCTGCCTGCTCCCTCTAGGAAAAAACCAACCAAACAAACCGAGAAACCCAAACAGTAACTTTAAGATCTTAAAAAGTTAATTTCAGAGGATGGAATAAAAAAACTCTGCAAACAGTTTTTGTTTTGCCTGAACTGTTTCACCTTGTGCTAATGAAAATGTGGAACATGACTGTCGGTTTGATTTAAAAAAAGCTAAAAAATTAATTATTTCATTTTTGAGATTTTTTTCCACATTCAGCTACAATTTTCCAATAAAATACCCACGAGATCTCCTGTGTAGTTCATGATGCATATTCATGGCTGTACAAATACTCAACAATAAATGAGCTCATAAGTACTCATTAGTGTTTATTAAGCCAAAGTCTGCTTTTGCAAAGTCATAAAATATAAATTTACCTTCCCTAACTTATTATTTTCAATATACGGTGCCATTAGTTATGAAATTTTGCATGTCTTCACTTAGCATTTGATGGTGTAGCACCTGCCTGTATTTGTTGTTTATAAGCCAATATTAGCAAGCGACATAGAGAGCAAACTCCAAGGGAAAAGACACTGTCTACTAGCAGAAGTAAAAACAGAGTAGGGGTTTTGGTTTGGTTTTTCAGTAGAGTGAAATGTAGTCCATTTAGTACAAAACAATTTATTTTTTTTCTGTAAGAAAATATTTTTCTTAAGAAAAAAACCCCAAAACATTGGAATCAGTTTTGTACTGGATTTTAGCCAAAGATTCTATTAGAGGGTAGTATTTCTTGCCTCATATACAGGTGTATCTTCTGGATTGTGACCATACCTCTCCTTTGTGCATGGTTACCACCATGGAAAAGATTCTCAAGAGATGGCATAATGTGAGTGTAGGCTACTGAGAGAAACACAGTTCTATATTACCACAAAATTCTAAAGAAAAATCTCCCACAACTGAGCAGATTGCTTACATGAGGACAGTTCATATTATTAGCCTTGAAAGTTCTTCGAAGCCTAGTTAATCTTAGCTAAAACCAAGAATTTCACAGTAGGTAAAATTAACAATACAACGCATATCATAAAAGCATGAATGGCAGAGGATAGATTATTTTTACCGTGTTCTATTTTTATCTAAATGAGTGAAGAAAA